GGGTGCCGGAGGCGGTTGGGGGGGGGGGAGGGGAGAATTGCCGGTTTGGCTAAATAATAATTCCATTCGCGCGCCAGGAGCAGTTAAACGCGAAGGTGAAAAGCGTCTCTCTCCGCCTTTGCTCGCGATGGATTTATGGGCGGCCCGAATCATCCGGACTTCGTGGGCGTCTAGTGATTTATGGTAGTTGGGCCTCCAGTCACGGACTGCATTCGCCGGTTAATTTTTCATTTCGCGCGCGTTGCTAGCGACGAGTCAATGTCGAGGCATTAAGAGCGAGAGTCTCGATTCAAGTGCATCTGCGTGCCCCGGGTGAACGACGTTGGCTCTCGATTGGCAAAAAAGGGGTAGAGCGTGCCACCCTCACCCTCTGGAATCTAGGAATCGAATATCATCGGGCCAAGAAAGTTGCATTGTTTCTTTTATAATTCCTTTGGGCACTCGTTTCATCTGCAAATTCTATTGGAATCGACCCGACGTTCGATTCTCTCGCCAGTTTTATGTCGCCCACCTTCACTAGAGAATACTCCTTGGTATATATATGTGTGTGTGTTGCAATATGTTATTACATACACTTCTATGGCATCGACCTCAATGGTTCACCGTGATATCCGTCCCCCCTGGAATCCCCTCGACAGGATCTCTAAATTTTATGGATATTTCTTGTATACCAATGTGATATATTTTTAAACACGTTTCATCTTTCCATAGGGTTCGGGGGAGGATGGAGTGTGCGCAGATAAAAAAAGAAAGAAAGAAAGGAAGAAAGAAAGAAGGAAAGAAAGAAAAAGGAAAAAGAACAAATTGAGATAAGACAAACGTGGCAGTTATTCCAGCAAGGATTCGATATAAAGTATCGCTTTAACCAGAAATAAGTTTGCTAAAGGCAGAGCAGAACAAGAAAGAGCGTTGCTATATTTCATTCTCGGCCGAATTCCAAAAATATTTCGTACCCGCAAGAAAATTGTTCAAATAGAAAAGTGATATAGCTCATGTCTCGATCGTTTATGTAGTGCAAAAATTTGTCTTTATAATTCAATCTAGATAAGAGTAGCTATAAACTCGCTTTATTGGCAAAATCATTTTACATAATAGGAGTCGTTCCCTTCAGCCGAGAACAGTCTTGTCTCTAAACGAGCAAACATCGTTACATAAAACTTACTTCCTGGACCTTCCGATGCACCATAATTTTGTGCCACTGGTTGTCATCGAATCGAATCCTCGTTGGTTTGATGTGCAAGTCGAGTCTGCCGTTGGCAAGTGTCATACCGATGGCGGCGCCTCCGTCCCTTAGGGATATCGTCATGTAGTCCTGTCCGTGTCCTGGAACGTAATAAATTACATCGAGAGCGTCGTTCTCTCCCTCCCTCCCATCCTCCCTCTCTCACACGCACACGCACTCGCTCATTCTCACTCGTTCTCCTTTTCTCTTGCGCGTGCACTCACGCATATGTGCACACGCGAGACGATTAAATATTCGGATGTTCTCTCGATTCTCGTCGTCAACCCCAACTGATTTAAAATGATTTTTAATAATGGCATAGAGACCGACGTTTGTTAACATTAATCTCGGATGGAGCTAATTCAGTTCGATAATTGTGAATGACATCGAGACTTCAACGTTAAATATAAAGTAAGCGTTGATCAAGATTCGCATTGATCCCAAGTACATAGCCGCGTACCCCTTATCAATTGTCCCGTTCTCTTGGCCAGATAAGGACCAAGCCGCTTTGATTTACTACGCTCCTGTCTCCTGCGCCCCGAAACACGCGCGCGGGGATATAAACTAACCGCAGGTGAACAACTGCTCCCACTGGTCCGCGGTGCTGTACACTCGCGGCTCTTTTTCCACGAATACAGCCGATGATCGTTTATTTAACACCTGCGCCGTTAATGCGACCGAATGCCGTACAATTTCCAAAATTTTTGAACAATGATAAATCTGGCAAGGATTATCGTTCGATCGAAATGGCGACTACTTTAGGATTTAACGTTCCGTTTATTACTTCAAGCTCGCGACGCTGCTTACTAACGCGGCTATGTAGTTGTTATTCCATAAATTACTCTGATGTAGAATAATTACTTGAAATTTCGCGAAAGCATAGAATAATATAGGAAATTATTGGCAAATTGAGCTTTATTGCATTAAACAAAGCCCAAGATTATATACGTTTCACATTGAATAGACATTTTTTTCTATACAAGAAGCTAGTCGTCTCTTTAATACCGCTGTAGCATTATTCTTCTTCTTCATCATCTTATTATCGTTGTTGTTATTATTATTATTATTATTATTATTATTATTTTCAATATTCGATATTCAAGAATGATCGCAGCAAAATTCAAAATAAGGTCGATTATCGATTACAAATAACGTTCAAAAGTAATATCATATTTTTAAAATTATTTAATGAAATGTAGCCGTCATCTCGATAGCCTTTACAATTATTAAGATATTATTTATAATTTATCGTTTAATGCTTGTATCATGCAAGAATATAATTTGACGATTTATTGACATTCGCCGTATTACCAAAGTCTTGTTTCTCCAGTACTCCGTTTTATTCGCTTCGATACTCGTTCCCCACAGTTGCTTTATACAAATTTGCAGCAAAGAAGCAATATTTTTGTAATTCCTTCTTCGCATTGGTATACGATGTTTCATACGATGATTTATTTATAATGTGTGTTCTCTGGCCCTATTATTAAAGGCCGCGTGCGCATGTACGATTGAATTAAGAGTTTAAATTATTGATACGAATGCCTCTGTCGACGTGATGAAATGTTTTTGCTACCACACTAATGGAAATTCAAGCTCGAGTCGAGCTCTTTTGCCGGCATGTCCTCGAGTAAATAGAATATGTCGGGGGGAGGGGGGGGGGGGGACGTCGCGGAATGGAGCGTGACAGTGGCACGAGGACATGGTTATTGGGGCTAGAGGTGGTGGAGGGATCGAGAAGTGCAAAGATGGTAAATAGGTAAAGTTTGCTTTTCTATTTTTCGTTATTTTTTTTAATTTTTATTTTTTTTTTTTTTATCGAGAGCCCAACAACAAAGACATTGAGCATTTATTTTAATTTAGTTTTGAAAATGCAGTGGACAAAAAGAAATTTTACGGAGTGTCTCTTTTGCCAGGGAATCTCTACTTTGCACAAAATTTCTCCGTCCAAGTGGCTCGCCGTGTTATCTCTTTCCATTCTTCGTCATTATTATTGCTGCAACATAAAACAAGACCTCTCCGACTTACCCGAATAGAACAAAAGTCCGTTGGGTTGCTTGGTCTTGAATTGTAGGAATATGCCCTCTTGCGTGCTGAGTACAGGATTGCCTCTGCTCAGCTCAATCGTCAAGTATTCCGTGCCCCGGAACGACGCTTCCGAGGGCATTTTATCTGTAACAGGAGAGCGAGAGCGAAGGTTCGGGATTATTTTATTAATGCAGCGGGTCGGTGGACCGAGCACATCGCCCTTCCTTTTCGCCCGACCGATTCAATTCCCGAGCCACAAGGGGACAAAAAGTATCGAGCGCTGCTATCGCGGGTAATTAATCGCTGCCACCCGGGTCATTAACACGGGAAAACGATTAAGGCGCGAGGAGCCCGTGACATACGTTCGACGCCCGAGGCGGAACCTGGACGAGATAACCGGCGCTTCTTTACAGCTCCGGGGAGAATATTTACGGGCGACCGGGCCGTTGCCGATGATGCATCGACGCGCGCGCGATCCCAAGGAAAATTAAGGACGAGATCGATTCGCGGCGAGACGTCGTCCGAGACATCCGACGCTCCCTTTCTGCCAACCGAACCTATTCCAGGAGTCCGTTGCGCCTCGCCAATTAATGCACGTGCACGGAAAGGTTGTCGTGGAGTAGCGGGATTTTTCATGATGCGCGTGCTCTCGGCGGAATGCCGCACCTACCGACCGACTCACCCAACCGATAACGAGCTTTAAATTCCTCCTCCCACCCCCCGGCAACTTTGGTTCGACCCACCTACGCTACTTAAACCGACCGCCGCAATTTACACGAGGCAACGAGAGTGATCGGGTTTCGCGTTTCCGCGCCTAAACGCTCGAAACTTGTCCGGTGTCTTGTCGAAGAACCGAGGACGCGTTGCAATGTACTCGAGATACGATCTCTTGTCCTCTCGTCCTCTCCCACAGCCACACCATCGCCTAACGGTGCTCGGGGGCAACCGAATTCACCGTGCATTTCAAGTAGCAAACACTATCGCACTAGGGGAATTACAAATGTACGGGGTCGCGCAAAGCGATTGTTGTCGGTGGGCTGCTAGGGGCTGGGTGGGAGGGAGAAGGGGGGGGGATACGGTGTTAGCAGGCGAGCCTTTTTGACCACTGTAGGTAATACCGAGCTCAAGTGTACCAACGGTCGGTGCTAGCGTCTACTTGCCTGGCATCACTACTACTGACATTGTTTTACGCGGCTAAATGCATTCCTACGCTCGGGACTTACGTGCGTGAATTTATCGCATTAAATCGCCGGAGCGAGCAACTATCAAAGCTCTTAGCACTTCCATTAGCCAGCTACTCGCGCGAGCAAGCAGACTGGCGGTATGAACGACGAGGGCTAATAGAACGAACTAATGACCAGGGAGCGCGAGCTGATAAGAACGCATGTTCGAAAAGATGTGAAACTCAACTCACGGTTCTCCCTCGACCAATAATCGTCGGCACTTGCCGTCGGCAATACAATGCTCCAGGCCTCTGTATCGCGCAACGGGCACATGCAAAGAGAAAAGATCGATTAATCAAGCCGTGCCTCGTGGGACGGACGCGAGCGATCGCGCGGGACTCACAGTCGGGGGTGGTCGGTTAGGATTTTGGGGGGGGGGGGGGTTGGCTTGGGACTTGGGACTGGGGTCTCTGAGGAATGTTGGGCAGAGGAGGCGTCGGTTGACCTTACGCGGCTGACCCCCGACTGTGGCATAAAGTTGCTCGTTCAGCTCATGATGGGACCGTCGCGGTCCTCTTCATCTTGGGTGGTTGTCGTTTCCCTCGCCGGGGCCGCTCGTCGACCTCGGGCTTACCTTTCTCGCAGTGCACGCCCTCGTAGTCCCCGCTGCGGCACTCGCATATCGGTCCGCTGTCCGTGGAGATGCAAATGCCCCCGTGCTGACAGGGATCGCGTGTCTCGCAGGCGTCCGTCGCGTTGGCTATCATGTTCCGCAAGCTCTGTAACAGTAAGCGGGTGTCGAGGGCCATTATTATCATAATGCAATAGCCCGGGCTCGATTTTCATCACGAGCTTGGCCTACCAATCTACCTGCACGTGGGCAAACTTTAGCGGCCCTTACGAGAGGGCTAGTGCGCCCTTAGATATCGCTAATCCAATGCTAATCGAAAGCTGCGTTCGGGCTGTTTTTAATATGCGCGCTCGATACAGCGCGAGACGTATCGATCTCCCATTCTTACGCTAAAGTGCGCGATCGTGCATGGGGAAGGATGGGGGGAGAGAGAGAGATAGATAGATATATAGATAGATACATAAATAGATGGAGGGAGGGAGGGATATATATATATATATATATATATATATATATATATATATATATATATATATGTATGTATAGAAAGCTTTATATATAAAAATAGAGCTTGTGTAGGTGAGAGTGAGAGTAATAGCGAGAGTGAGAGAGAGAGAGAGAAAGAAACACGCGAGAGGGCGTATCGTTCGCGCGGGACTTTAGTAATGTTCGATTAGCCGGGGGCTCGTGGATTTTTCCACCGCGGGAATACGAGATTACGTGGCTCATCTCGGATTCGCGAGGTGTCTTGCCGATCGATAGGTCACCTTGCGCCAGTCGAGTGCCGCGGACACGGCGACGTCTATTCTCCACGTGCGCATTCTCTGCAGATCCGACGGCTGTCGAAAAGCTCGCGCGACAGAAGTTACGCGGACACGTCCCCGGGACACGACAAAGCGAGCGGAATTAATTTACGTCGGCACGTTATTGGACATTTGAACTTTGCGCCCGCCGTCGACAAAGACAAAGTTTCCGATCCAAACGAGAAGCTTATCTACGGGTCGTTCACCCCTACCGATGCCTGGAAAATCCCACCCACGACTCACGTACAGCCCGTAAACTTCCAAGACGGTACAGCGTGTATCCTTCCTTATGGTCGTAACTAAGCCCGCGGCCCTTAACTGGAAAGCTTTTCTCAACCAGTATTCGTTAAGCGAAAATTCAAGCGACCTTGACGCTCATAATGCCGAGGCTAACCGGCTACTCCCCCTCCCTCACCCTCTATCCCCGGGGACTCGGCGTTTCGTTTGTTTGACACACTTTCGAGTCGGCTTTGCCCAATTACACGATGCAGCACTTAAGGGGCAGGTCGATGGCTCGGCTGTGGTAAGCTTCTTACTACTCGCCCGAATCATCGCGATATTTTGCCGGTCCGATCTTGTACCCGGGGAATGCGTAAATTATTTGCAAGCTACAATTCGCCCTTGGTTTTCCTTCGATTACCTTGTCAGGATAATGCATCGGATAATTTTAACGAGGGAGCTTGCCGTGTCATTTCCCTTCTTTATCCAGTGCTCTCCATACTTAAAGCTTGAGAGATTAATCGAGACGATTGATGAAAGTTATAAGTCTAGCCTAATGTTATGTTTATCGATACATAATTCTCACAATATATTTATAAATATTCACGAATCGCTGCTAAATATAAAATTATGTATCTGTGGTTATAAATTAATTGCATATAAGGCATAAGGATATTTATTGGGAGAGATATTAATTAAGATTAAAAATAATGCACGGTTTTGTGGAACTATTCGCTCAAAATCACGTCAATTTAAAAAGCAATTTATAATAAAGTGTAGTATCATGTAATATTGATAGATTTTTAAAGTTTTGCCTTCTAAATTAAACTAATACGTTCGTAGAATAGTGAAAGAGTCATAATTTTAAAACGTAATACGTAAATATTAATTGGGAATAATGATTTTAGGGCTCATAGTGAAGCCCGTGCTTTGTCTGTGCACTCAAGCGTCGAAAAAGCTAAACAGCATTTTAATAATAAGCAAGTAGTAGTAATTTAGGAAAATTCGGATTACGTTCTCCTGTTCATTGTTAGGCTATGGCAGAGAGCATTTTTGCGCCATTTGTTAGCAGATTTCTGATGAATTCCAATTAATGTTACGCTCACTTTATACAACAACTAAAGTGAAGAGAAGAGAAGAGAAGATAAGAGAAGAGAAGAGAAGAGAAGAGAAGAGAAGAGAAGAGAGAGAGAGAGAGAGAGACAGAGACAGAGAGAGAGACAGAGAGAGAGAGAGAGAGAGAGAGAGAGAGAGAGAGAAACTATAATGGAAGAAAAAGCAACTCCTGATTTTGAAGTCTCGCAGTTGCTTAAGTACATTATTGCAGTTTACGAAATGGCTTTCAAACTAGTTAGCTACAACGGGAGAATATGAATTTACGTGACTGGATATAAATTCCTGTAAATGGCTTCTGGCCATTATTTATAACTTTCTTGATTCGTTTAATTAAAAATGTGATGTATAAACATACTTAAAGCAGTTCATCTCTTTGCAAGTAACGAGCGAAAGTATGAACGATGTTAAATCGGCGAACCGGCTATTAAAAGCATCCATTTGCATTTAGGTTTTGTATTTTTAACGCCGATCCAATTCACACGTATACATATGCTGGTAATATATTGTGCTGCGTTGCGCATAAAACACAACGTTAATGCTTAGTGTATCCATCCATCAGTTTTACGTAATTTGAATATATACAGTTACACCAGGGCAGATACGATATATATAAATATATATATATATATATATATTCTTTTTCTATTTCGCATCTCTAATGCGCAGTCATCGGATTATTTTACATAAGAATTCCATCATTCTTCAGTCAATGATTTTTCTTCCAATGGCAATACATGGGGAATGAAAAATAATAGACGTTCGGTAATATTATCTTTTAAATTCGTTAATATTACCGCAGCCTTATATTTTATTATTAAATGTTGAAATTGTTAATGCGCGTGGATTATACTTAGTAATATGAATAATACATGTAAATAACGTCTTTGCTAATCATATGCGCTCTATTATTAATCGAATGTCCGTTCTTTAAAATTTTTCAGGCCTCCCGCCCTCCTCTTCCTACCATACTTACATTCGCTAGTTTTACACGCTATACATGTGTATTAATACTCAAACAATAATGTAACCGTGCATTATTCAGTAAGCTTGTGTAATCTTATTTCTCTAATATCATGATTTTTGTAATATTACGTGAAACGATATAAATCTGACCGAATAAGGCTAATCAAATAAGAAGTTCTGAAAATCGTGATTTTAATATAGCGAAGAATTGTAATGACGGGGTCATTATATATTTCTGCTCACCCAAAGAATTACATTGAAATAAAAAACTTTTATTTCTATCCCCCTCCCCTCAGCGCCCTCTATTAAATTATGCATTTTATAGAGAAATGCTAGTTTGTTACACATTTTGGTAGTAACGCCGGTATAAACCGTCATTTTTATTTAATCTACGTGCCATACATAGAAGCCATATTGCTTAATGCATACAAATTCCAGTGTGTTGTGCATTTTAATCTTTTGTTATTGCAATAAATAAAATTAATTGTAATTTGGGCCATTAAAAAGTTACGGTAACAAGTTAAGTCCCCTCGTTAGGTCCGGAATTTATATGACCGTTTCTTTTTTAAATGATCAGCATTTGCCACATTCCTTTATCGCAACAGACAAATTTCCTGAATAAAGATCGAGCGGCAATAGAAATAGTTGTGTTACACATATCTTTAATTCGGCACGCGTCAACAAGCAACACCAAATCATAACGAATACAGGACTTTCTCTCTCTCTCTCTCTCTCTCTCTCTCTCTCTATCTCTCTCTCTCTCTCTCTCTCTTTTAATTAAATAAAATTACTCACTCTGGGCAGTATTCCGATGTTGCTAATTTTATCGAAGAAAAAAACCAAATAACGTTAGCCGAAGTTTGTTGGACTCGTAGAAACGGGATTCGAGAGGCCAGTGCTAGCGAATCGATTAGCCATAAATTGTCGCACAATTTCCTCGGAAAGTTGGTCAATCTCGACTTGACGAAACAAAAGCTCACCCGAATTTACGCGCGTACGTGTTACTCGTGGGAGCTCGAGCGCGGCCGGAAAAGTGCAACGTGGAATGCGAATTAATAAATGGCCGCTTGGCCCCCGTGAACCAGCTACTCCATATCGTACGGATCACCTTACACGGTTTTTTCACGAATTTCAAGGCCAGTCGGACGCAAGATTTATTGAAAGTCTCGTTACGGCGATTCAAGGACTAGGCTCGAGAGCCGTGACCGAAGATCGTGTTGCACTAGAGGGCTGCGGTACCGAAGCCCTTCGCTGCCGCATATGAAATATCCGGATGCCCGTGAACTCGTAAATTCGCGGCTAATAATCGTTGGTGACGGAAAACGCGAGCTTAGCGAGGCAGTCGAGGGAGCCCGCGCACATCATTGTCTACCGCCAGAATAAATGACCCCGGTGCCTGAGCATTAAGTATCTTTTGATGCGAAACTTGGTCGTCCGGATTTCGTATGACTTCGCGGCTAATGAAACGCCCCCGGATTCCACATTTACCTACGGGATTTTTACCTTTTATACGATTTCGCTTTCAATTATGGCAGTGGAATGATGAGTGCCGTCGGTGCCGAGTGACAACTGACGAAACTCTCTCGCGCCATTTGGTCTATTATTCTTACTTTAATGCGAGAACGGAGCGCCGACTGAACGATGAATGGGTTATTGGGATGGGGTGGGCTGGGGGATGTGGAAATGATTGATGTTGAGAGGGCAATTATTATTAGCTATCTCGGCGGACTAGCGATTTTTCTCCTTCGAAAGTCGCGCGGAGATGGCGTTCTTTATGCCCTCGGTAGACGAGTGCCGCATTCGGTCTTCTGGTCCCCGGGCATTGTGTGTGTCTCTTCCGGTACTCCCAGCCTCCGCGCTCATCGCTCTTTTTCCCGAGGGCATTTATTTCTTTCCGGGCGACGACTTTGCCCATTGTGTCTCCGCGCTACGGGCATAGACAAGAACGGATGAGCCGACGCCCGGATTTCCTGATAATGCAAAGCCAACGGATCTTCCTCCCGTTCCTCCCGTAGTTCCGCCTCCTATCCTGTACCAGCCCACTCCA